AAAAAAAAAAAAAAAAAAAAAAAAAAAAAAAAAAAAAAAAAAAAAAATTGTACAGGGAGTATCAGCTGGCAAGGGAAGTGGAGATGAGAAGAAATGTCTTGAAGATCAACTAGGCGATGCTAAAGTAGCTGTTGGGAGTGCTGAAACCGAACTAAAACAATTGAAAACAAAAATAAGCCATTGTGAAAAGGAACTTGCGGAGAAAACTAAGCAATTATTGTCGAAGCGTGAAGAAGCTATTTCTGTAGAGAATGAGTTAAGTACTAAAAGAAAAGATGTAGAGAATGTCAAGCTTTCGTTGGAGTCTCTCCCATACAAAGAGGGCCAGTTAGAAGCTTTACAAAAGGCCAGTGCTATTTCTTTGATTCTTTGTACTAACTAATTAACGCATCGATATTGATTTGATTGATCATCATGTTAACCTATATCTTTATGCAGGAACGTGCATTTGAAATGGAGAGAGTACAAAAGCTGAAAGATGAGATACGCAACCTTTCAGCACAATTAGCTAGCGTTGAATTCAAATACCGTGACCCTGTAAAAAATTTTGATAGGTCAAAGGTCAAAGGAGTAGTTGCAAAACTTATCAAAGTAAAAGATAGTTCTGCAATGACCGCCTTAGAGGTAGCTTGTTATAAATGTTGCAATACATAAATATGTACTAGAATATGTGCTCTCAAGTTAAGTGAATACGCAGGTCACTGCCGGTGGAAAAATGTTTAATATAGTTGTAGACAATGAAAATACTGGAAAGCAGTTGCTTCAGAATGGTGATCTTCGGAGGAGAGTAACAATTATACCATTGAGTAAGATACAATCTAATCCCGTTCCCCCAAGAATTCAACATGCTGCTGTCAAATTGGTTGGTTACTTAACTTAGTTCTCTTCACAGTATTGGCATTCTAAGTTCGCTTATTTAGATTTTTTTTTCAATCGGTTACCTTTTTAGGTTGGGAAGGAGAATGCCGAACTTGCACTTTCTTTAGTTGGGTATGAAGAAGAATTGAAGGTATGCTTAGACTTTTCCTTTTTATTGGATGTGGTTATAGCCTTAAATTGTTGATATATGTTGGCGTTTCTTTTCTGTGAGATCTTGATCAAGGGAAAGATGATTTAATAGATTGTTGGGAAATAAAGGGAATTTTATGCAGTTGAAGTTTGATTTAGCAACCTGGTTGTGGTTGTATGCAATAATGATGGCCATTTCAAGTTTGTACTAGAAGTGTTTTCTTTTTATAACAAGATACGGATGAATGGACTTGGTTGCAATTGTGCTTTTGGTTGTTAGGGAACTTTTGTTTTCTCAATGCAAATAACACGTTTCTCTAAATTGGTGCGCGTTGTAGAGTGCAATGGAGTATGTATTCGGTTCAACCTTTGTTTGCAAAAATATTGATGCTGCAAAAGAGGTATGTTAATTTAGTGTCCATGCTGAGAGAAATGATGTGCTCTTAGAGAAAATAATAAGTCTGCTTATAGCCTTTTTGTTATTTATCAATCTACAGGTTGCTTTTAATAGAGAAATTCACACCCCAAGTGTTACACTTGAAGGTGACATTTTTCAGCCAAGTGGTCTACTGACTGGAGGAAGTCGCAAGTATACCTCTAAACTCTCGCTTCTGTTTATAGATTTAGCAGGAACATTAAAGATTATGGATATGCAAAATAAACATGTGTTTCTTGCATACTTAAAACCTCTTGATTAGGTTCAGGGAACGCCGTATGCCCTTGACCTGGGTATATGTTGAATAAAAATAGCATATTTGCCTTCAAGCTTTAATGGCTAAGATACTTCCAAAATTTGAACTCAGCTTGTTAAGCAATTATCTCTCTTGACAGGGGTGGTGGTCAATTGTTGAGGCAGCTTCATGATTTGAAAGGGATGGAAGCCGAACTTTCCATGCATCAGAAAAAATTATCTGACATTGAAGCAAAGGTACGCTGTACAGTTTTTCTCTCGACTTTTATGGAAAGAAAGAAATATAAGCAAGCCAACTTGTAGGATTTCTGCAATATCTTTCTGAAGTTCATTGGTTGCAGTTTATACCATTTCTTGGTTTTAAGAACAATAATGTCAATGGGTAATACATGGTTTTATTACATGATACACGAAGAAGGAATTTCTTAATGTAAACAAACAAATATAGACTGCTTTGTCTTCGTATTTTTCTGTCAACATTGCTCTTTATTCACAGGGGAAAAAAACTCAACGTCCAAGTGTATTTATAGATTATTTGTCAAGCTATCTAACTATTACTTGTTGAAGCCTGCACAATTTTCATGCATTTCTTGTGGATATTTAAAATTATTTCAGTACTTCTTTGTGGCGGAATACTTTTGGAAAATTGAATGGTGTTCTGGTCAGCTACCTATTTTAAAATTCTTACGTTTAAATTGTTTTTTTATGTCAGATTTCAGAGATCCTTCCACTCCAAAAAAAGTTTGCGGACTTAAAGGCGAAGTTAGAGCTTAAAATGAATGATCTCTCGTTATTTCAGACAAGAGCAGAGCAAAATGAGCATCATAAGGTTTTATCACTTTTGACCTCTTTATATAAGTCTAATGTTTGGAATTATGCTTAGATTGTAATTTGATGCTCGAGTCTCCTTATCTTGAACTCAATTTGTTTCGGCTTTTTATTCTGTTCTCTTGGTGTCTTTTAAGCTTGGTGAATTGGTGAAGAGGATTGAGCAGGAGCTTGAAGAAGCAAAAGCTACTGCCAAAGGAAAGGAACTTGAATATAAGGATTGTGTGAATGCTGTTTCGTTGCTTGAAAAATCAATCAAAGAGCATGACAATAATCGAGAAGGAAGGTTAAAAAACCTTGAGCAAATGATTAAGGCGACAAAATCTAAACTGCAGTCATGTTTAAAGGATTTAAAGGTACACGGCTTCAGTAGAAATTACCATTCCTGACTTTCTCATTGAAAATTGGTAATTAAGAATAATATCGTGTTGAAGACATGCCCTCCTGTACGTATTTCTTTTATTTTTTATTAGATTCAAAATTTTGCGCTCACTTAGTCAAGTAAAAAATTTCAAGCTTTAACAAGTGACGAGATAGGTTATAAAACTGAATAACTATTTAGGAGAACACAAATATTACAGGAAAATGAAGTACTTCATCCAGACACCTTCATATGCTCATTGTAAGATTTGAGGCGTATGTAATATGGAAAATGTTTTGGGGGAAGCCCCGCACCTTGGAATTCTATTCTTCTGGCGATTCCATGATAGCTAATTGTTAATGTATATTCCGATAATTTATTAACAACTGTGCCATCAATTTGTCAGCATGGTGTCTAACTTATCATCCTTTTTAACACATGGTCCTACTAACTTGTAGGGGCATGAAAATGAAAGGGAGAAGCTTGTCATGGAAATGGAAGCTGTTGTACAAGAGAAGGCAACATTAGAGGCTCAATTAATTGCTATGAAAACACAAATTAACAATTTAACCTTGGAACTAGAAGAAAAGAGGGCCAAGGTATAAGAAAAACCTTTAGCTCCCTGAAGTTGAGAGAAATTATTGTTACCTGATTCTCTCCATTGCAGGTACTTTCCATAAAAAGTAAAAATGATCTGGCTCAGTCTGAGCTCGATGCAGTCCGTTTGAAGATGAAGGAATGTGATTCCCAAATCAGTTGCATTGTCAAAGAGCAGCAAGAACTTCAACATAAACTTAGTGAAATGAGTATTGAGAAGAAGAAAATGGAAAATGATGTATAATACTTAATATTGTATTCATTCTAAGGTAATTGAGTTGACACTATCAATAAACAATACCTTCTGTTTTTATGTTAGGTAAAACGATTACAGATGGAAAGGAAAGATTGTTCTGTTCGAGTGGACAAATTGGTTGAGAAACATGCATGGATTGCATCTGAGAAACAGCTATTTGGAAAAAATGGAACTGATTATGATTTTGAATCACGTGATCCTTGTAAAGCTATAGAAGAACTCGAAAGACTGCAGGCTCAACAATCCAGGTGAGTGGCATGGCTTAGAAATTCAAGTTTCAAATATTACTATTTAAATGGTATCCTAATTTTTTGGGCATATTGTGCATGCTTTTGCAATTATGCAATACCGATCTTGATAGATGCTTAACTGATTGTTGTGAAGTTCGAAAGATTATGCTAAAATCGTTACCACCCTACTGTCACCCCCTCTAAACTTTTCTCTTTGCATATGAAGCCTTGAGAAAAGGGTGAACAAGAAAGTAATGGCAATGTTTGAGAAAGCGGAGGATGAGTACAATGATTTGATGTCCAAGAAGAACATCATCGAGGTTAGTTTCATCAATTATGCATACATTTCCTTGTCTTCATTTTACTAACTAAACTCTCTTTTTTAGAACGATAAATTTAAAATAAAGAAGGTGATCGAAGAATTAGATGAGAAAAAGAAGGAAACCCTGAAAGTTACTTGGGTAAAAGTTAACAGGTGAGTAGAATTGTGTAGATCGTTAGCCATCTCATTTTAGTTCATCTTGTTCATTTTCCCCTGTTTTCCTCGACTCAAATAAGTGGACTGAGCATCTTGTTTGATATTATCTTTATACAGTGACTTTGGTTCCATTTTTTCTACATTACTACCTGGGACCACGGCTAAATTAGAGCCCCCTGAAGGTTGCAGCTTCTTAGATGGTCTTGAAGTACGAGTAGCATTTGGTGGTGTTTGGAAGCAGTCATTATCAGAATTAAGTGGAGGTCAACGATCTTTGTTGGCACTTTCTCTAATTTTAGCATTGCTTCTCTTCAAACCAGCTCCACTTTATATCCTGGACGAGGTTTGTTCGATTTTCTTGACTGTGGTTCTTTGTAAAATACACTTTAAAATTTGATCAACATATTATGTTTTTTATTCGGGATCTTGGTTTGGAAATTTGATGGAGACTAGCTCCGGATTACACCGGATGATTTACGCCTCTTTTTAGCACCTTTCCTTGACCTTGTTTTGAGTTAATTAAGATTACTGTGAGCTCTATCATCTGTGTCCTTTTCTCTCCTTTCTTTGCTGCTCTCCCTTTTATCCCCTCTTTTTTCTTGGGGTATGGGAATGGGTGCTCGTATGTTTAATATCTCACTCTGCTGTACTTCTTAGGTCCCAAAAGGGTAACAAAAAGAAAGAAAGAGATGATCAAAAGGGTTGATTGGAAGTAATGGGATAATACAATTTTTTTTCTTTTAAGATTTTCTTTTTATACAGCGCAGCTGGAAAGTGTCATGATAAGACATTTTTTTTTTTTCACTTTTAGTTTAATTTGTTTTACTCACTTCAGTCTCTATATAAGAGAACATCCTGTCCTCATCAAATTGATATGCAACCATCATACTGTGTTCCTTGATTTTCAGGTTGATGCAGCTCTTGATTTAAGCCATACACAGAACATCGGGAGGATGATCAAGGCTCACTTCCCACATTCCCAGGTTTCTTTCATTTTCTTGACACTCATCGGATTTATTATTATTTTTTAAAATACGTTTTTCTTACAGTTGCATTCAAAATGAAAGTCTAATAGATTTACTAGCCATAAAACAATCAAAATATGAGATTTAAGATGGGATGACTTCTACCAGCATGAAATATTATTGAAAGAAAGATTCAAATTAGTAATTGTGAGAACTATCGGCTCATTTTGATCCAAGCAGACAATGTTATGGTAGCTTATCCTTTTCATTTCTTTGATCCAACAGTTCATCGTTGTTTCACTCAAGGAAGGCATGTTCAACAATGCCAATGTACTTTTCCGGACCAAATTCGTAGATGGTGTTTCCACTGTTCAGAGAACTGCTACTGCTAAGCAAAACAAGTGATCCTTGTACTGTACAAGATCTTAGTCCCTTTTACTTCTTTCTTATTTCTGTGGAACAAATGACATCTTTATTGTTTTCCATCAAACCCATTACAATGATATGTAAATTATTGCCAGAAATTTCTGAACATATTAAACGAAAGTATATAGACGGCTGGCTTCATTGACTGAGTAACACAGGTTGATGACTTTTCCTTGCAAAAGTATAAAAGTTGGTGAAGACCGCTAGTGGTAAATCGCCGAACAGTCTCCGAGTCAAAAAGTGTTGTGGAGACCAAAACTTTGAAATCTGTTTCCTCGAAAGTGAAGCCCTCCCATTAGCGTATTGGGTTAGCCAATATATACACCACCAAAGTCTCTCTAATCCCACACACCATTTTGAGCTTTGTACAATCAAAAACCAATGGCTTCACCTACAGCTTTGGTTGCTTGGAAGAAGGTTGCCTTCTTGGCTTTCCTTCTTATTGCTGTCAGTGTTTCTGCAAGAGAACTTGCTGGGGCTAACGTTGTCACACGCACAGCCCGTAAGTCCGTTTAAGCTTTTGAGTTGATAAGTGATTTAACTGTTCTTTTCATGAGGCTTTTATCACTTTTTGTGTTCGAGTCAACAGGTGAGATGGCGGCGGAGCCCAATGGTGTGATAGGAGGCAGCAGATTAATAGCTCGACAATTGGATACCGCTTGGAGAGGACATTATTCTCCTCCTCCTCCTCGTTCTCCTCCTCCTCCTCCCCATTCCTCCTAAGGGCAAGGTCTTGAGGTCTGTTAGTGTATTTTATCTTTAGTTACCCTTCTTTGCCCTTTTGGTGGGTTTGGATAATAAGGATGTCTGATCCACAAGTTTTATGAATTTCTTTTCCTGCAAGGTTGTGGCCTTTAAAGGCGTGGTGTGTGTGTGTCGTTGGAGTTAAATTCAAGCTTAATAATCAGAGTTTAATAGCATACTACTCTTGTTGTTTACAGTGTTTCTATTTTGTAATTACTTATGTCAATGTCAGACACACAAAAATATGCAATTTTATCACTTAAGTGAGCAGTGAATACAAAGAAAGAAAGAAAGAAATGGCCGACTTCCTTGACTTCACAGCCCAAGTCGACGGAGGTAAGTGGTAGGTAGGAAACAGTCGGACCACCTGCCAACCTTGGCACTCTTATTCTTCACCTTTTTCCTCTTAAAATCTGAAGACGAGTAGCCTAAGGGGCATGAAATTACAACTCCTGCACTTCCTCCTCCTTCACTTCGATGACTGATCTCACTACACTTAGAGCTTCGTGGTAAATATTCGCCCTTAAAATGTTGAGGGCCAAATATACCAACCAATAGCTTACCATGCTCTAACATTTGGACTAGGGATTCGAAATCCTGGGCATGAGGTGTTATCGGCTTAAGGACGAACCAAAATAGAAGTTGATAGGCATGTGACACTTGAGTAACGAAAGGTATATGAATAAATGGAGACTACAAATAAGAGTGATCTGGAGGATAAAATCACTAAGAAAGAATTAAAAGAATTAAAAATCACGTGTAACTTCATTTTTTTTTTGTGGCTTAATTATAAAAACTCTAAATTAAGTACATTGTAAGGAAAAAAACGAAAATATCCAGAGTAGTGTGAGGCCATGAAACCCGAGTGTCAACCACTCAAAATGGCCGACATGTTTGACTCTTGGAGCTCAGGAGTGGAAGTGGAAGTAGGAACAGCCACAGCCACAGCCACAGCGACGAGCTGAAGTCTTGTAAGTTGGGGCATCTTAAATATAAGTAAACAAAGTTAGGCCTTGAGCTACCTCCAAAAGCTTATTAAAAAAATGGCGTCCCCCAGGAGGATCCGGATTTCCCTTCTCTTGAGGCTGCTTTTCTTTGCTTTGCTTCTCGTTGCCTCTACTGCTTCTACAGCCAACAGCAAGGCTTTGCTCCACTTTCCTCGTACTCGTAAGTTGTCTGTCTTGTTTCCCATTATTATTGTCTCTGATACGTACTAGTAGCCTCCATGGTTTCATGGTTTCAATTGGTTTCAGGCAAAATGGCGATGGAGGACGGACAGGTTGGGAAGGGTACATCAAAGAAACCAACTGCTGATGATGTCCCATGGGGAGGAGGCTATGTTCCTCCCATATTAAGCAACCACCCTTGATACCTCATTTGTTTGGATCAGCTCTGTGTTCTTCTTTTTGTTGCTGTTCTTGTCTTTTGGGGAGCATCCCATCCTATCTTATGTTCTTCACCCTACAATAACTTTAATGTTTCTCTTTTCTTTTTTATTTTAATGGAACGTTATATTACGTAACAAAATCTACCTCGTTTGTGAACATATTCTTAAAACAATGCCATGAACTTAACAAAAAAAAAAAAAAATCTTTAAACAATTACAAAAATAAGGAAGGGAATAAACAATGCCTTGGTCTATCCCAAAGGCTACATGGAACAAGAAAAATGCATATACCCTAATTTCTATTCCATGGTCGTCACGATGATGTTGTCACCCGTGTAGAGGTACCTTTTCTTTACTTGAAAATGAGAGTACACGTGACTTGAGTATTTTAAGAAATACCTAGTAAATACCTCCAAAAAAAAGTCGGTTAATACATACACAAGCAATGATGAAGGGACCTATCCTTCCATAAAATCATTTCATGTCCTTGAACTCTACCCACGACCTATGTATGTGCACATGGACCCACCAAACAGGTGTATATGTACTCTTAAGTCTATCCTTTAGCTAGTGCACGCTAAACCACACGAAAATGGAGTGGAGTGTTGCCCACATTCGATTTTTAAATTGTTTCTAAAACTATCTTAGAAATAATTTTGCACATCTTCTAATTAGAGAACAATAAGTAAATCACATTGAAAAGCTTCAATTATTAAATTATGAGTAGACGAAGTGGAGTAGAGTGTTGCCCACTTTTGGCCACAATCCTTGAACCCATTGTGGAGACTTCTTTCAAAGGGGTTAGGTGGAAAACTCAGCACATCTTCTCAACATCTAATCCTTTCTTTTTTCAACTATTTCAGACCTTGTAACGTCAATTCTTTTAAATATTGTTTATTTTTCGTTTTCATTCGTACGTAGTTTTAGTGTAACGGCCGAAGCCCACCGCTAATATATACTGTCATCTTTGAGTTTTTCCTTTCAAATTTCTCTTCAAGGCTTTAAAACGCGTTTGCTAGAGAAAGGTTTCCACATCCTTATAAAGAAGGTTTCCTTCTCCTCCACAATTAATGTGAGATATCATAATCCACCCCCTTCAGGACCCAGTATCCTTGCTGACACCCGTTCCTTTCTCCAATCGATGTGGGTCTCCACCAAATTTACCCCTCTTCGGGGCCCAGCGTCCTTATTGGCACACAGTCTCCTCGTTGGCACATAGTCCAGCGTCGGGCTCTGATACCATTTGTAACGGCCCAAATTCACCGCCAGCAGATATTGTCCTCCTTAAGCTTTTCCTTTTCGAGTCCCCTCAAGATTTTCAAAATGTGTCCGTAAACGAACTACGCTTCATTTTCAGCGTTTCAAAATTGGACCACTTTGTAAGCTTGGAAAGATTTGGTTTGTTCTTCTCAACTTGTAATAATATAATAATCCAATTTTATTCACCTCCAACCATTTCGTCAAAGTCAACTCCTGTAATATTAATGAACAAAGCTGGTCCTATCCGTCGGCCATTCGAGTCTATCACCATTTTTTTAAAATTTAAAAATCTTTTTTATAATAATATCAACCTCCAAAGTTGGCTAATATCGTATAAAATAAAATTAAAAAAAAAAGTTATTTATTAGTCAATAAATCTCTTTCCTAACAATCACATTTGTTGAAAATTATAATTTATTTCCATGGCTTTTAGAAAACCATTGCATTCACTTCACTCACACATTCAACGATCGTATGGTTTATTGTCAACTTGGAATTTAATTTTCTAGAAATTTCTGTTCTTCCCCCTTCAAATTTCCCTTCAATATTTAAAATAATTAAACCTTCAACTACTAATAAAATACTAGATAAGTTAAAAGTTTTAAATGTATATATGTATATTATTATGTTTATAACGTCCTAAGTTCTTAGATTTAGCCAAGATTATGGATAAAATATATTTAGTTTCTTGAAGAACGGCTAGAACACAACCACTACACGTGATTTAATTTTAAAATAAAAAAGGAAAATTAGTTGTTTGAATACTTAGAACAAGACAGAATCTAAAGTAGAGAAGACAGCGACTTGAAAAGGTGGTAACCTGTTTGGTCGTTTTTCCAAATCTGCACACTGTTTCTTTTCTTTTTTCACATTGAAGACTTCGAAACTTGGCAAAAAAAGGTTGAATTTTTGACCCATGTTCATCAACCCAGTTCGTTTCTTCTATATATCTTCACGATATCTTTCTGCAATTCCCAATTGGGAGCTTACAACTATGGCTACTCATAGCCAAACCCGACAATGGTGCTACTCTGTTTTGTTTACTCTGTTTCTTCTTCTCTCTGTTGAAGCCATTGACGCCATAGCCATGGAAACTGAAGCTCTTCTGAGATGGAAACAGAGTCTCCCTAAGCAGTCGGTTCTTGATTCATGGGTTGTTCCTTCAAACTCGAGCTCCTCTGTTTCAAACCCATGTCAATGGCGGGGCATTTCGTGCAATAAACAGAGCAGCGTCGTTGAAATCAAGCTCGACAATACTGGTTTAGTTGGTACTCTCGATCACTTGAACTTCTCTTCGTTTCCAAATCTCCTTCGTCTTGATCTCAAAATCAATAATCTCACTGGTGTGATTCCCCCCTCCATTGGTGTTCTTTCAAAGCTTCAGTTTCTTGATCTTTCCACCAACTTTCTCAACAGTACTCTGCCTCTGTCTCTCGCGAATCTCACAGAGGTTTTTGAGCTTGATGTTTCTCGTAATTCCATTACTGGGTCTTTGGATTCTCGTCTTTTTCCAGATGGGTCTGGTAATTCCAAAACTGGGTTAAGGAGTTTGAGGAATCTTTTGCTTCAAGATACTCTGCTTGAAGGCAGAGTACCCGAAGAGATCGGGAATATCAAGTCTTTGAATTTGATTGCTTTTGATAGAAGCCAATTTTCAGGTCCAATTCCTCACTCTTTGGGGAATTTGAGTAACTTAAACATTCTTCGTCTCAATGACAATCATTTCTCTGGAGAAATTCCTCAAAGTATTGCAAATTTGAAGAACTTGACTGATTTGCGCTTGTTCATCAACAATTTATCTGGTGAAGTGCCACAGAATTTGGGAAATATGTCATCTTTAACTGTTCTTCATCTTGCTGAAAACAATTTCATAGGTAGTTTACCTCCCGATGTCTGTAAAGGAGGGAAACTCGTAAATTTTTCAGCTGCATTCAACGGTTTTACCGGTCCAATCCCTATGAGCTTGAAGAACTGTCCTAGTTTATACCGTGTTTTGATTCAGAGTAACAACATTACCGGATCATTGGACCAAGATTTCGGAGTGTATCCAGAGCTTAATTACATCGACTTAAGCAACAATCAGTTCAATGGAAATCTTTCTCCAAAATGGGGAGAATGCAAAAACTTGACCCTTTTGAGGATCACAGGCAACAGGGTTAATGGCGAAATCCCAAATGAGATCACTCAGTTGGAGAATCTGGTAGAGCTCGAGCTTTCGTCGAATAATCTCTCTGGATCGATCCCAAAAAGCATCGGAAACTTGTCGAGCCTATCGGTACTCGGACTACGAAACAATCGGCTTTCTGGGTCGATCCCTGCCGAGCTAGGAAGCCTTGTGAATTTAGCACATCTAGACCTCTCCATGAACATGTTGAGTGGATCAATCCCTTCTGAAATAGGCGACAGTGTCAAGCTGCAATATTTAAGCTTGAGCATGAACCAGCTGAATGGCTCAATCCCATTTCGAATAGGAAGCCTTGTGACCTTACAAGATTCACTAGATCTAAGCCACAATTCATTAAGTGGAGCAATTCCTTCCCTCTTGGGGAATCTTCGAAACTTGGAGAATTTAAACTTGTCTCATAACAATCTTTCTGGATCAATACCAGATTCATTAGGCAACATGATGAGCTTGGTGTCTATTAATCTATCCAACAACGATCTAGAGGGCCCTCTTCCAAGTGAAGGCATCTTCAAAACAGCTAAATTAGAAGCTTTTATTAACAACAGAGGATTATGTGGAGATTTGAACGGTCTCCCACGCTGCAATAGTCCTGTGATGACAGATGATCAAGAACAGAACAGCCACAAAAACCTTGTAAAGGTTCTTGTTCCATCTTTATTGGGAGTACTTTTAGTATCTATTGCAATCTTTGGGGTTGTTTTTTGTATCCTTAGAAAGAAAACCAGGCAAGATCCCGAAGCGAACATGACGAGAGTGAGGGAGAAAGTGTTTTCAAATATTTGGTATTTCAATGGTCGAATCGTGTATTCCGACATAATCAACGCGACGAACGAGTTCGACGACGAGTACTGCATAGGGGAAGGAGGATCAGGGAAGGTTTACAAAGTGGAAATGCCTGGAGGTGAGGTGTTTGCAGTGAAGAAGCTGCATTCATGGGATGATGAAAAGGGGTATCAGAATCAGAAGAGTTTTGAGCATGAAGTAGCTGCTTTGACAGAAGTAAGGCATAGGAACATTGTTAGGCTGTATGGATTCTGTTCTAGAGGTGTTCATACGTTTTTGGTTTATGATTATATTGAAAGAGGGAGTTTAGCTCATGTTCTGAGTAGAGAAAAGGAAGCGAAGGCGTTCGAGTGGTCGAAGCGGGTCGAGGTCGTAAAAGGCATTGCACAAGCGCTATCTTATCTTCATCATGATTGTCGGCCTCCGATTATACACCGCGACGTAACAGCTAACAATGTCGTGTTGGACTCTGAGTTTGAAGCACATCTTGCGGACTTTGGTACGGCAAGGTTCTTGAAACCTGACGTGTCTCGTTGGACGACTGTTGCTGGCACTCATGGCTATGTTGCCCCAGGTGAGATTAAATGTTCTTCGAGTTTAATTTTGTGTTTAATATATTCCTTAACTAATTAGATGAACTTCAAATGTGACAGAGCTTGCATACACTATGGTGGCGACTGAGAAATGTGACGTTTATAGCTTTGGAGTCGTGGCGTTTGAAGTCTTGATGGGAAAGCATCCAGGAGACGTAATTCTATCGTTGCATTCTTCAACTGATTATAAGGTTGAGTTGAACGATATCTTAGACTCTCGTGTTGCGCTTCCTCAAGACGAGAGAACAATCAGTGACTTGAGTTTGATAATGAGTCTAGCAATTTCGTGCTCCCAAAAACATCCCCAATCACGACCAAC